CCAGGGCCTGCTCCTCTTCTTCAGCGTAGATGCAAAAGTCATTCTGGTCCTTCTCCTGCCAGCCAGATTCTCTGGCTTGGCCAGATCCAGCACTCCTTGTGCAGAGGGGGCTGGAGCGACAAAGCTGAGGCACAGAGATGTTCTTATTGAAAGTCTTAATTCAACCTGCAGCAGATGGGGGCTAGTTCAGAGGTCTAATTAATTCCCTTGCCCCCATTCCATCCTTGCATTCAGGCTTTGGTTTGGGCCGACATGACACAAAAGGGAGGAAACAAATTCTGTGCTCAAGAACAGAAGTGAGTAGAGATGGCAACCCCAACAGTTGATACACCACACATATCATGTTGAACTCCCCCTTCCCCAAACAGCATTGCCCAAGTTGATATTCAGTATAATTTACATGAAGATGGCACTGTATCAGCTGCTGGAAAAGAGAGGAATAAAAGCAACAAAGAGCTGGGCCTTGCCCTGTGGACCTCAGGACAGAAGAGCAATAATTCTCAGCACCAACTCATCCCTCAAGTCTCTTGCTGCCCGGTGGCATCCCTAACCCAGAGTCAGACTCCTGAGGGATCTCTGTACCCAGGAGAGGTGTTAATAAAAGCTGAACGCTACATGGGGAAACACCGCACCAATCAGTAGAAAATGCTGAGGAAAGGGCTGTAACATACCTTTGCATCCTTAGGACACTTGCAAGTAATGAAGGGAATTGCCCAAGATCTGAATGGTGCCACTAGGACCTGGCAGCTAGTTTCTGCCCAGGTAGGGTATGTGGGGAGCACTCTTGGGACCCATCCTCACCTCTAAGGAACATTTACTTATTTTATGCCACACACAGCACTTTGATGGGGTGTAACACAGAAACATTAGTCCCCTTGCTGAACCTCTAGGTCACAGTAATATTCTGCTTTTGTAAATGTTCAAATCCTTGCTCGTCAAGGATGAATGCACAGTTGCATCTTCCACAGTGCAACGCAGTTCCCTGTTCCCTGGTGTAAAGACAGCAGCTCTCACACACCTCCGCAGCCCTGCTTTGCTGTCAGGCAGGCCTAGCTGCTATCTTAGCTATTTTGAATGTCCCTTGAGTTCAGGCACTGCTGCAGAGCAGGGGCTCTCACACCACAGCATCTCCACAATACTGAGGGGAAAGTGAGCCCCTCATCCTGCTCTCTGTCAGTTCGCATCCAGTACTTACTCCCCTTGAAAAGTAACCTAGCCTCCCCCAGCCAGCTCAAAGCATCTAGGCCAAGTATGTCACAGAGCCAGAGATAACACAATGGAGGACAAAACCCAAAATAAAATAATAAAGAGATTGCCCTCCACAAGATTCTGCCTCTAGTGGCTTCATTGGATGCCCCATCACAGTGGCTAAGCCCACCAAATCTGCATTGCAGAAGCCTTTGAGCACTGGGATTAAGGCAGAACCCCCTGGCTCCACCACCACTGCTGTCTGTGCCCAGGGCATCCTGAGTGCAGCACTCTGGGGCTGTCCATACTGTGCAGGTCCCAGAGAGTACTGCAGGAGCAACTGGAGGAGGAGGAGGCTTTTCCTGTGGCTGCCTTGTGGCTCCTAAAGCTGTTGGTTAGGTGCAGAGCTCTGGAAGGTGTAGAGGGAATTAGACTCCCCAGTGTACATAATGAAGCTCCTGAAAAGTTGTCCCTATAATTATCTGTGTACACAGTGAACACGGTCACTGGGGGCATTGCTTTTGCTGCCAGGCTTGTTTGCCGAACCAGAGTTTCATTCATGTCCTGTTTTGTTTCCCTCCAGGACTGAGGAAGAGTCACGTCGCTGTGCCCAATTTCTGCAGCTGTTGTGTCTGCACAGGGCCAAGACACAAACCTCAGACACGCATGCAGTAGGCCAGTTCCTCTCACTGTTTGGTCCAGACCACATCGGTGCGTGACACTGGAAACATCTGCAACATCAAGGCACCTCGCAGATGTCTCCACAGAAGACCTTCCCACTTTACCTTACTGCAAAGAAAGCAGTACAACACTTCCTAGGGAGGAACAAGCTATGGTGGTTAAAAAAAAGCAATTTTCCCACTGAGGGAAGGCAAGCAGGGCTTTTGCTAGGAGATACAGCCCTGCATGTTCTAGGATGGGTGTAAAACCAGGAGTTCAAAACCATCACACACCACTGACATGGGGATGTTGGACGGGAGGTGTGAGTTTGCTCTGCCTGGGCTCTGGGTCAGTGTGTGGATCTCTGATCCTCAAAGCTGTAGTGTGTGACAGAGCCTGAGATGAGACCCTGTGGCTCCCCAGTGCTTTAGAGGAGCTGAGCCCCATGCTCACACCTTCGACCAGCCCGAGGGTCAGAGACAACTGATCTTCCCTCTACCATGCCCCTCGCACAGGGCACACACAGGCCTGATTAGGCTTATGCGCAGGGAACTGCCACACCAAAGTTGAGGCTTCATTCATGCTCTTCCAGTCCAGCACTGCAACCTCTGCCCCAAATGCAGAGACATTCTGACACTTCAGACCCTTCCCCTCTCTTTGGGCTCAGCCTCCTGCTCTCAGCATCTTTCCTGTACTTCTGCAGCCCTTCTTCAATGCGCAAAACCCACAGCAGCATCCAGTAGGATTCAGGCATATATATTGCCCCTAGACACATGCTCATTCAAGAGTACATCTGATGCAGACAGTTCTCTTCCCTGGCCCTACCTATGGTCAGGGCAGGCTTTGCTCTGCTCACCAACAGCATCTCCTGGGTAAGCTCACTGAGCAGGAGAGAGGCTGCAGCGCAGCCAAACAGTGCTACCAGGCAAGTCCCCCATGCCAAGGAGTGCCATCAAGAAGCAGTTTTCACTTTCCGCTCCAGGACTAACGTGTAAATCCAATACACCAAACACAGTGGCAGGTATGTGACCCACCCTGAACAGTCTCACACTTCAGAGAAAAAGACACTTAAGAGGTCTAAAAAGATGGCTCACACCAGCTGTTATATGAACACTACACCCATGGGCCAAAACTTATGGTGGTGTAGGCTGCAGCTGAAGACATCTCCACTTCTGGGACCACATGCTAGTGGCAGAAGGTCACTGTGAAATGGTTGCTCAGAAGAGAAGACACATGAGTAAAACAGTTTTATGCACTGATGGCAGGTGCCTTCAGTTTTACCAGCCTAAAGAGAGAAATACGCAGCACGCAACGCTGCAAACTCACCTCTCCCTTGACATCTTCAGTGTTATTATCTAGCTGTGTCCAGAAGCAACACCATAGTTTCTCATAGGCAACATGCAAACAGAGGTTAGGGAGCACTCAGCTGTGACAAGGGGAGAGCTGAACAGACAGAGCTGGTTTACCTCTCTCTCCTCCCCTCCCTCTTTTCCTGCTCTTTTCTGAACTACCTTATTTAGGAAACAATTCTTGGCTATTGCGTTAACCATGGAGCTTCTGAGAGCCTGTATTGCCCACTGCCCTGCCTCTTACGAGAGAGCTCTTTGTGCAGGGAGACAGTTTCCCAGCCTTGCCAACACAAGGCACAATCCTGAATACTGTTTTGCTTATATCGCTCTTCCTTGGACATATGCAGCAGTTGATTCCCCATACCACTTGTTAGAGCATTGGGCTTGCTTTAGGTAAGCAGAAGAGAAGGGAGGGTAAAGCACTAAAGGAGATCAGTCCAGCTGCATGGGAGACACAGTCTTAGGGAGATGAAAGGTATCAGCTTGATCCATATGGAAGAGGCAAGAGCTAACGCAGGTCTGGCACTTGCCTCTTGTACTGAGAGCCTCCCTGCTGTGGCCCTCATCACAGTGGCTGGCAGTTACTTTACATCCCTTCCAGCTCCTGACTTCTCCCTCTGTGGTGGGGAGCTGTGCTTGCCTCATCCACATGAACAGTTTCCAATCTTTGAGAAAGTGCTGAGGTTTCTCAGCTCCACGCCTCTTATGGTCCCTGTCCCAAGCCAAGTCTCTCAAGCCTTGAGAGACTATGCAGTCACTGTTTGACAGGAGTATCCATACTTCATGCCAAAGGATGCTGAGCCAAGTATGAACCAAGCCTACTGCATGCATCTAGCATAGCAGAACAGGGAGTTCTTTGCCTCGCCTGCAAAGTCCTCATCCCCTGTACACCTGCACTGAGACCTCTAAGGGATGTCTGAGGTCAATAGACAGACATCAGCCTTTCCCTCTAATGCGGTGTGGAGATATCCTCTATCTTGTGATGCAACTTTGTACTGCCCTTCTGTTACAGATCCTATTCCATTTAGCCTCAATCTGCATCTTGGGCTCATTCATTTTTGCTGCACCAGCTCAGGCCTGCTGTACCCAGTGCTGTTCTGATCCCAAACCTCCACAGAAATCTCTCATCCTGGTGGAAATATCTGTTGCTGATGGGTCCAGTCCACAGAGAATGATTCTTAGCAACCAGACTGACTGGTTAGGCATTGCAAGCCTGGTTAAATTCAGAGAAAGATTTTTGAAGTTACTCACTCAGAAATACACAGGCTTTGTCCTGTAGTGAAAGACATGGGGAGTGGAAAATCACATATTTGCATAAAAATTCAAGCTATTCACTTTCTGCTTTATTTAGTAAACTAAATGAAAAAATCCACGTGATGTCAAGCAGCCAATCTGTTCTTAGTGTCAGTAGAGGCTGACAGTGGATCCCAGCATGGCACCAAAAGCAAAGAGAATGAGGATAACACATCTCTGGGAACTACAAGCTTTATCTCTGATATTGCCATTTTGCTATAGCACCCTTTGCTCCCACAGATGTGGCATGGAAGGACAGAGTGCAGGGCAATACCAGAGCTCCCGGAGTACTGAGAAAAGAGAGCTGGAGCCAACAAATGAGAAGGGAGAAGAGATTTCTAGTGAGGACAGACAACATATATGTACATAGCATAGAGATGGGAATCTGTGACTGACTTGGCCCCTTAATCCTACTATCTCAGGAATTCCTGAGCTGTGGGGTTCAGTGAACTCGTCATACACCAGAAACAGGTGATTCTGGGCACAGTCATCCTGTTGGCTGAGAAAGAATCAGAGTTCCTCATTGAAGACCTTCTCCTCAGGTTCATCTTCATTCTAAAACACATGAGAGTCATGAAATCAGTTTTGACATTGCTCAGTTTCTCAGCTTAGTGATAAAAGGAAAAAAAAAAACAACTTAAATGCCTCCCTCTGCTGTCTATGCTACTGCTCTGCCTATCCCATTTCACTGGCACAACACAAGGTCCTGACACACAAAGCCTCTCTGTTACAGGAAGATGAACTTTGACAGAGCAAGAACTCGTAACACTGAATGAACATGGAAATTAAGTTGTCCCTCTCTCAGCAGAGACCTCTGGTAGAGTCCTGAACCCTGTCTGTATACTCTGTTCCGTGGCCTTCTTGACAGATTTCCTTCCTATCCATGCCACTAGTCTCTCTGATCCTCTCTTATGTGCTGCCACCCACCACCCCCATTCTCAGTGTCCAAAATCACCCTTTACTCTGTCTCCCCAGCCACTGTTCCCAGAAATAGACACTTCAATGAGACCTTCATACAGCTGCAGAGGTCAGTGAAGTTTTCTTGCTGTAGTCTAGAAGGCAGAGGTCAATGAAGAAAGAGACTGCAAAGACATCCATCTCTGCTCTGCTCTAGATCTAATGCTTTTCTGATATTCAGGTGCAAATGAAAATGAAAGAGAGGGTGGCAGGGGTGAGGAGGAGTACAAGAAACTGAAGTTACATTCTTCATGAGCCCTGTGAGAAACCCCATCGTCCTACAAGATCTCAGTTTCCTGTAGATTGTACAGGAGTCCTACTTTACCTCCTCCATTCTTTGTAAGAAATGATTACAGAAGTCCTGCACACGCTCAACAGAGACTTCATCCAGAGTCAACACATCCTGCTCCTCATCTGGTGCATGGAATATAGCTAGGGCTGGCAGCTGAGACTTCTTTAGTTTGAAGAATGACACTATTCGTTCATTGCTCTTCAAATTGCTGTCTAGCAGAATAAAAAGAATCTGTGATGGAAATAGGAGAGGGAACGTGAGCAAAACAGAAACTGAGAGAACAGATCCCCAAACAGTGATCATATGAAAATAAAAAGTGACATTTTTCTAAAGTGTTAGGGAAAATGTACCCTACTCCGTTAGGGCAACACTTTCCTCTGCCACTAGCTAAGTACTCCATGCAGTTCATTTTTCTCTATGTTATGAAGTCCAGGCTTACACGACCAAACAAAATGTTTTCTTTCACCTTCTTTAAAAATATATCTACAGTATGGCAGGAAGGCAGTCTCCACTTCTATTTTCTTAATAGATGAGGAAACAAGATGTCTTTTATCTTAATGGCACATGTAAAAGAAGCTGACTCCTCTACTTGCATATTATTTGGATAAGATGCTCATATCCATGCAAGACTCAGAGTGGCAAAGTGAAAAAGGTGTTTTAGTGTGTGGAGAATCAAACTCAATTGCAAGAATGTGGGAGTGAACTATAGGGCAGCAGAAGCCTGCAAGGGTAAGAACATGAGAGTGCCAAATACAAAGGATGTATTTAAGTGAGCTGCAGTGAATAGAAATAAAGATGCAATCATTTGGGAAACAGGAGATGTTGGCAAGACACCAATGTCCATACAGCCCAGCTCAGTGGAGGGTTGTTCAGAGCTGAGGAGAGAAGCTCAACAATTAATAAGCCAGGACAAGAATGACCTACAGTTTTCTGGGCTCCTGAATAGTCTTGGAGAGTAAGTCAAGCCAAGGATTAGGATTCTGCTGAGATGATTCAATAGTACAGATTTATCAGAAATGGTGATCAACACCATGATTTTATTTTAAGGGTAAGTTTCAACTGAGATCTTACAGGTGCAGTAGGATTTGGAACAAATTTAAGATTTTTGAATCTGAAAGATTATCAATAACATATACAACTATGTAAAAAATCATTGTTAAATTATCTGTTTATACTAAATACAAACCTTATGTATGAATTTTCTTTAAAAAAAATAAATACAGCAATTAAACAATTTAATCAGTGACCTGATTAGAATCCCTTGGCAGGCGACATCTAAGTCAATGAAACAAACATCCAGCTAACACACATAATTTTATCTTCTCTCAATCCTGTGGAGCCCACTGGGCCTAGCATATTCAGTGCACCCATGGACATAGATATGACTTAATTTACACAAGAAAAAAGAAGAGTTTAAAAAAAGAAAAGTAATGCAACACAATGATGTGCCCAGTTCCCAGGCTGTGACTCATGTTTTTCTTCCTTTTCAATCAAGAACACTCAAGTTAGTTCAAAACATTTTTCTTCTCTAAAAATAAACTTGGTAAATCTCAAATTCTTTACTTTATTAAATTTATGTTCTATAAAAAACAAATATATCTGCAAACTTTCCTAGGCAACAACCTATGGGAAGGAGGGATAGTTAGGCTAGTGTAAGGTTTAAATGCAGTTAACCACTGCAATACAGAAACAGGAACAACTTTCACTGGATATGTGATACTAACCACTTGCATTTTCTCTTACAAAAGTCAGCTGTACCCCAAGGACAACAAGCTAATGAGCAGATAGATTGTGGGGAACTTCTTCCAGAGTGCTAAATTCATCCCTTTGCGGGATGAAACACCAAGCTAGAGAAGAGTCACAACTCTAAGTGTCATAGGCCTAAGGACCTGATCTAAGGCTTTCAGTTGGAGCAGCAATACTTATGTTTTAGGGCTCTCCTTCCAATAAGCAAGATGGAAATAGAGGCAAGGGTTGGTACAGGAAATGGTATCACATTTTCACCAGTTCCTTCACCAGTTTTTGGTTTTCTCTATGAAAGTTTCACTAGATAACAGTGGTTTTTTTAATCAAAATTAGAAAAAAATAGAATACCTAGGTTGTTAAATGTTATCACTTTCTATACAAAATCTCCTCCACCTTTAAAACAGATCAGTAACAATTTAAAATGGTAATATAAATGAATGTTAATCCTGCCAAGGCCTGCGTGGCCCCAGAGTCACACCTGTAAGGCAAGACTGTAAGGTGTGTCGGTACTGAGGCCACAAGCACTGGAAGCCTGGTCTCCTCAGCAGCTGGAAACCAAGCGGGTTTCTCAATGGGGACATTTCCATGATAGATGACACCTGGTGGAACTGGCATTTCCTCATGAGGAATTTATTTTGTTCAGAGATTCCTAGCCAACTCTAACAGTAATGAAGGAATGCAGTGACCATGGAAAATTATACCAACAAAGAGACAAGATTCACTTTGTCTAACTTCCGCCATCTAGATCTTCAGCCTTGTCTTGGCCAGTCATCTAGGCAACCTCTACAAAAAGTGGTAAAATAAATGGCACTTTAGTCCACTTACTTTAGAAGAGAAGGAAGGACATGTCTGTCCTCCTTTACCAGTGCTGAACGGAGCCTAAAGCCTTAGCTCAGACAACTTACCAAATCTATAATTCACCAAAACAAATCCCACTTGTAATGCCAACTCTCACATCACTGCTAGAATTCATCCCAGACATAAAGTTCAATTTCTATTTTATACTGTACTGTACAATAGCTATTTCTTTCATTCTGAATTATTTCTATGAAATTGTTTCACTT